AACTTCTTGATTAGTATTTGATCTTAATGATGGAAAAATAAATTTGATTAACATTATTATTATTTTTTGTTTTTGTTTGTTTTTTTTTCTTCAATTCGCAGAAAATTTACTACTGATATCAACAATATCAATTAACTTTTAAACTAAATTATTCTTTAACTTAGTGACTAAAGAAATTTTAAATAAGATCAATAATTTGTATGAAGGAGATGTTTACTAATATTCACGTGACTTTATCATGTTACGAAAATTAACCAATCAAATTGCTTTATCATTTATTTATTACTTCCATGTAATAGTAACTATAATAAGAATGATATTTAATTGTTTTTGTAAGAAAATATTTTTATCTTATGAATTCAATGAATGACTAGTGATAATAGTGTGTTTTTATTGTTGAAATTCGATCACAATGTAAAACATTCTTTTAAAAAAATATATGAATGAATAATTATTGATTAGTGTTTAGAGAAAACATTGTTTTCTTTAAATAAGTCAATAATTTAATTTGTTTAGTGATCATTTTTCAATGGATTGATCATGGGGTGGTGATTGATGCCATGTATATCAGGTCCTTCTTAGTGCAGATCGAATACTATCAACCATGTTGCAGTGTGGTCACTAGTCTAGGTGACTCGACATTGCGTGCATTATGTTGAAATGAGATGGTAGTGAACAGGAAACCCTGGACCAAGGTTTCGTGCTACTTGGCAGTTGTCAGCAAGGTGTAACTGTAATCTCGAGGGAACTGATGCTCCCTGACGGATTCGATTTCATATCATTAACATTGATCATCACCCAGTGAGTGATCAATCAATTGTAAATACACCTTAGCCCTACAGGAGGTCAGTCGCGGCCCAGAAAGCCCAGTGGTAACGTTTCTGACTGTGAATCTGGGTGACATACGATCGAGTCCGTCGGGGAAGCATCAATTCCTTCAAGAGTACTGGTACAACTTGCTGACGAGTGCCAAGTAGCACAAAACCTAGATCCAGGGTTCCCTGACGACTACCTCTAACCACCGTCTTATGATCATTTTTCCTTTGGATATTTGATATGCAGAATAAATTAAATGTAAATAAAATCTACCAAGTTCATTTTAAATTAAGATAGTGTAGCGTAATAACGTAAACTTATACATGCGTAAAGAAGTGATAGTTAACTGTATGAAGGAATTTAATCTTATTTCTCCTCTTTGTGCAGACTACGTTAGTTACCAAGCTCTTTTCTCCACTAATTTCATTCAATGTTGTTCATTTAAAGTCCAAAAATTTAACTTCAACATTTTAAAACGTAGAAAATGAGTCATTCATATTTCATTCATAGAATGGTTAGTATAATATAAGATAAAGTGACGATAATTAAATCAATTCCTAAATAAAGGTTGCTTCGAATGCCCTAATTTATGACTTTGTGATTGACTGGAGTTTAGTAGTCGGCTATTGACTACTTAGGAACACTAAACCTCTGCATCATGTTATTTTGGAACTCTCAAGTAATACAATGTTGGAGTGATCCGGAAAACTTTACGCAAAAGACAAGCAATCATCGGGAAAACACTAGAGAGCATTTTATCCAATCAGCGTTCACTTGAAGTCTAGCGAGAAACATCAAGAAAGTGAAAAGTCACATGTAGAGTTTCTGATTGGATGAATATTAAGCTGCTACTATGTTTAATAGCATTCCACAATCTTCGGGAAACCCAAGGACGTCTAAAATATAATAAAAACCCTATATTTTCTGTACTAGAATGAACACTTGGAGTAAAGCGCTTCTCGCATATTTTGCACATTTTCTCTCGTGTTCAGGTCGCTGTGTAGTTCTAGCTTGGGGGGTTACGAGAATAGCTTAGGAACCGAATATGGCGTTCAGTTAGCAAGACTTATCAATCAAGTTCAAAAATGATAGGCCACTGTATCATGAAATGATAAATGAAACCGATATTTTCCGAAATATTTGAATATTTCATTTAGTATGGCCGTAATGAACGCTACTACTTAGTTATGCGTTTGGCAGTCCGAATGAACAAGGATGCGGAGAATGGATTCATTACATAAATTAAGTTATAACCGGGTCAGATATACGCTCGAAGCACGCACACTGTTTATGTAACTGCTCCATAAACTGGTGGCGTCCAATAACAATGGGCAGGTGGATATTTTAGAACCTGTTGCATCTTTCTCGAAGTTATTGTAAATTTTACTCAAACGGCATTTTTAAAACTGGAAGTGATAACTCGTCATGTTCACTATCTAGTTGTTTTGAAAGTTTTACAGAATTTGCCGTTCAATATGTGCTCTCATTGATTGTCTTATTGACTGAACTAAATTCATCAGTATTAAACACACATACGGTAGAACTATCGAAGCCTTATGAAGAACAAGTTTCCTGAATTGTTTCTAGGAAGCTGAAACTGCCGAAGAAGCCCTGTTGGTTTTACTGGACGCGCCTTTAGTAAATGCAACCAATCAAACATCCGCACCAGACCATGAATGAGTAATCATTGTTGAGTATTTCTGCGCCAAGTAGTTGGATCAAGTCATATACGTGTCATTCGTATATCTTTGGCCAACCAATCACATTAGCGAGACCTACCAGTCAGAAGTTGAATACTAGATTGATTAGGCACATGTATATATCAGATATTGATTTGAGCAAACAAACTGAACGGCTGATTATGCAAATCAATCAGATCCATACATGAGTTAATGTTAGGCCTACGCAGTAAATGACAGATGATTGTGGTATTTGAAGGAACTAATGATACCTTCATACTTCATCACTCGCTCATTACGAATTCCAAATACAAAAAGTTCGTTTGCGCTCATCTAATTCTATCTGGTTTAAATTGCGCTATTCCGGGAATTCCTAGTTAGTACGATAATTCGAATATTTTAGCCATCACATTTATGTCGCGATGGAGCATGTGATTCAACAGTTTGATTTACATTCAAACTCTGAATCCTTCTAAGATAACATGGAAAGTTTTGAACTCTGGAGTATGACCAAGAAATACGTTAGGGATGATAAAACTGTGGCTATTTAATTGCATTCATCGGAAAGGATGCCAACAACTTACTAAGAGCTTTAGCATTCCCAGAAAAGCCTATTTCATTTCCCTACAGAATTCATGAACTACTATAAAATCACGCGAAGTGTAATTCAGACTCTGTGAAAAAGTGAAATTTCACAAAGCGATTCGTCAGGACATCAAGAATTCTACTACATTACTTAGTTATCTCAATCCATTGTGTGCTCACTGTCATGCAGATAACAATTCATTGAGGAGTTGAGAAGCAAGTTACAGAGGTGAACACATGTTTGATAAATGCTTACCCTTAGGTAAATTTCACTCGTGTAAATCATGTGCATTTCGTCACTTCAAATATTTAAATGTGGTGAATTAGAACATGTCCAGCCGGTCTGTAGAGCTATTGTTCGTTTTGTCACGTATGATGACAAACCCTGTAATTTGAACTATACTTAGCTGGGTGTTTTTAATGATCACTTGTATTTATTCAGGGTTTCGGAAGGCAGTAACTATATTCAGAAGGGATTATATATCTCCCTTGATTCATTCCATGACAGATGGACTACCATTCTTGATCATAAGGGGAAGGTTGAATTTATTTACCTTAGTTTCTTGAAAACTTGTGATAGGGCCAACCATATATATGTCTTGTCAATAGGCTCAAATGATCAAGTATCAAATCGCTTTTAATTTATTGGCTTACTTCATATCCAAGAAGTCGACATTATAAGGTCAGGGTTAACTTGACCTTCTCTCAGGCTATGGAATGTTCTAGTGGAGTACCACAGGGTTCAGTACTAAAACCTCTTCTTTTCTTGATTTATACAAACGATCTTCTACAACAATTCTCGTCCGACTTATTACTTTTTGCTGGTGATGTGGAACTTTGGAGAGAGATACTCAACCAAGGGGATATATTGGCACATGAGGAGGATCTGACTCGATATCAAAGTTGGGCAGATGACAATGAACTTACCTTTAGCACTTCGAAATTTTAAGCAGTTCATCTAAGACACGTTGAAAACTACGGCCACAACTTAGAAAACTGCACGCTAGAGGTATCCCAAGATGAAAAATATTTAGGAGTTCTGGTACTCTACCACTTGAAGTCTTACGTTAACTGTGACAAAAATGCTTTTCGAGCAAGCCTTGGACTGGCAACACTGAAGTGCATTTTTGGCCATTTTGACATTAGAACTATCCACTTGATCTTCCACAGTTTCATTCGTCCCCATTTAGAGTACGAAAACATAGTACTTCCCCCCCACTCAGAGAGGATAAGGACACTCTGGAGTGTATCCAACGGCGATCTACAAAATCAGTTCGAGGCCTCAAATTCAAGCCTTATGAAGAGCGACTCCAATCATCAAACCTCTAACCGTTAGAGTACAGGAGTCTTGGAGGTGAACTTTTAATGGCTCACAGCATCCTAAATACTGCTGGAGACCCCATTAAACACCTACTTACGTTTAACTCCAACACAAACCTAAGGGGTAAAACCTGGAAACTGGAGACACAACACAGCAGAATGGATTGTAGATACACCTTTTACTCCATAAGAGTTGTCAAATGCTGAAATTCGCCGCCGGCTGAGATAGTCCAAAATACTTCGCAGGAGTCCTTTAAAAGGAATCATGATATATTCTTAAGGATTAAGTATTGTGTCCTACCAATTCCTTTTTCCTCTTTTATCGTTAACTTACCTAGGTTCCTGCCTGGAGGTATTGATGATCCATTGCTACTAGATTCGGAAGCCTTTTAAGCAAAAGCTTCTTCTATTCCATCCACAACTCTTTGAAGCATTCCTGCTTGTTCCATATATCCCGGTCCTTGCTGCAAAGAAACGTTGGTCACTGGCTACTAGACAATGAGGTTCACCAGGTTGAATCTTGTCTTGTTTAGCTCGCAACAATCTGTCTATAAATGTCATGTCTTTAAAGACATGGATTGTACATTGTAATCTGAAACCCATGGCAATTATTTATAATTATTCGTTACGGTACGAAATAAGCTGTTGTAGGTACTGTTCGTAATTTTGTTTTTTTCGGATAATTAATCCATATATCTTCATATTTACTATATCCAAAACTTAAAAACACCTCATCCATATCTTCGTCTACCATCTCAATGCTTTAGTTTAGTGGCATGATACCCCCTAATAATCTCAATTAAACTGAATAGGAATAAAAGGCGAATTTCGGGGAAAAATACGTGACATTGGATGACGAAAATTCGGAAATAATTCATGCGAAATTGCAACTTAAGCCGCCCTCTTCGCCCACTCTGAAGAGATAATAAAACATATAGGGAAATATTTCCTTAAAATGTCCACCATGAGGTGAGAAATCTATAAGTTCACACCTTGTTGATCTCTGAATAGTTTACTTTTCGCCAAAATTTAAGCCATATTGTCTCACTTTCTCCTGACTCCACTCAAACTCCAGATATCTCCTGCACTTGCGAGATATATATGTTCCAATTGTAGCCTGAATATTCTCGGATTTTGCCTTCGCTTCTATGTGAAAATGGATATCACTAAGAATGCTCATTAGCACATAATATCAAATTTATTTCGATCCTTGGTATTCAGAAGGAATAACATAAGCGTAAAAACTCGTATTACATCGGTACGTGTCCATACTAACCGGTGAGTCCTATTACCATCACTGTACATCTGGAAAGAAAAATACCTTATCGGTTTGTGGACATTTTCGGTGTAGCAGATGACAGAGATAAAAAATCACACGTTACATAATTAATTTGTTAGAAGAGGTGCAAAATAAACACTAGGTTTGGGCTCCCTTATAGACATGCACTTAAAAACAATGTCACTACCAGATATCTACATGTGCTCATGACTAATCACTGGGCACATAAATATACCTTTATCACTAGATGGGAAGAGTTGTAAGACGAAACCCGAAAAGTCTGCACGAGGTCTTAACTTATGTATTCCATTTTCACTGACATCAGTTTTGGTTGTCATCGAACAATCGCTACATTATCTGGCCTAATTGGTGTTAACGTAGTATTTCTGTGTGACAAACTTTTCTGGGGTCATAAGGAAGAATGTCTTGGGTGGTGGATAGACAAATACCATCTTGAAGCCTACTTGAGGTGTTCACGTTCGTAATACCATTTGTATTCTATTATTATTCAACTCCGTTCTGACAAAATCTTCTAATTGTTTATAGAACTTAGGATAAGACAAAAAATAGGTTGAAAATGCTAGCCGTTTAAAATTTAGATAAAGAGGATGTGGTAAAACATTTTTAGGAATTACGGGTTCCCAAAAACCTTGATACGGCCGAGGGTGGCGAGAGTCAGTTCTCCCATTCGAAATGCTCTCTCTGTTTTTCATTTTGTTCGATTCAACTTCAGACCTGCGCACGTTTTTATTAGATCTTAAGTTTGTTACATCTTTTTCATCTCACTACTGTATGTTATTATTCACATCAGTACTGTGGTTATCAACAATCGGAGCATCCATTTAATCTATCTAGAATTTTCTTATGTTCTTTTATATTCTCTTGTTGTGTCCTTTGGATTCCGATATCACGTACATAAAATAAGATCAAAGATATTAGGTAAGTAGTTGCGACATTCTATATAGAATAGAACCACTGGTCCTGAAAAATTCCTCATGGTGGTCTTCAACTAGGCATCTTGGACCCGACCGATTTTTTCTGTCGTCGTCCAGTTAGAAAATATGTCATCCGTCGAAGTAGACTGCTTCTTATTTTATTTCATTTGAACACATCAATTTTGGTACAAGAAGGCACCAAATATATATGCGCCACACAAAACAATGAGAATGGGAAGAGAAAAAGGTAAGGAGTATATAAGAAAAAAGAACAATAACGACCATAGATTAGCGTTAGGTAGTGTAATGATAATAATAATAATAATAATAATAATAATAATAATAATAATAATGGAGAGAACGGAAAGGTACAACAAGAAGAATTCTTTCAGTTAAGGAAGATACAACCACCCTTTATGAAGAAATTAAGAGAAGTTTACAGCAGGATCGCCACTAGCTTATATTCTGAGGCATATCTGATAACGTCTCTAGCCACTGTGTTGCACCATCCCTCAGACCCCAACCACGGAATCTTGAAGGACCAACAGAAGCCAGTCCTTTGCAACTTTCTTTCATACCACGACATCATGTCATACACTGACCACCTCTCCGCTTTTTCCAACCAGTCCTGGCGTCCGCAAATTATGACTGCTTCTTGTACCAATTTTCTTAAATTTAAATAACAAATAGACCCGGGTCAGGTTTAATTGACTAAATCGCCACCAACAATCGTCTTTGTCTCATTAAGCTAAATAATTTAACCGGAGTAAGAAGTGGTTAACACGAAAAGAGAAGTACTGACTTACAATCTCAGGAAGATCGCTACGTAGGTCCAATACAATATGAGTCCTTTCACTACCTAGATAATTCAAATGAAATGAGTCCAATAGATTTTTAATACCAAATAGGAATTCAAATGCACAGATCGGATATCTAGGAACATTATTAAGCATCTTAAATGTCCTATGGGAATTCACCAGTTACAGATTTCTTAAATTGCTTACATGAAGACACCTTTACACACGCATCTTGAGCTCGTTTTTATTACCGCTGTTCGTATTTTCTGAGTCTTTCAGCTACTTTTTTTATTTTTTTGGTATTTGTAGGACCCCGAGATAGGGACATACCTGGCCCCTATACAGAGTCTACCCCCAAAAACACTGGTTTGGGACACAAAGACCTTTATTATTCTTTCTACGCAAAGATTTTCTGATCAAATACATTTATCAAAAGTATTCAAACACAGATAATAACGTGGTTCTCATTATATTGGGGTCAGTCATAGTTAAACTCAAGCGGTCCTTCGTTACAAGCCAATGTTAAGTGCTAAACTACGCTGTAAGTTAATCTTCATATTAAACGTATATTTAGTAGTTCTACGTGGATTGGCTCCTGTCAGCTTTGATGACTCGATTCTCCAATGTTCTACCTTACAAAATAAGTATGAAGTACCGAAAAATCTCCAGTCAAGTTTTGTTACCTCAGAAAAATTGCATTCTCGACATTTGCTACACGTAACCTACTTTTTCACTTTTTAACAATTTTAGTTACAGGAAGCATATCTCAATAGATTTCCATTCACTATTGCTAATCCCACTGTTACCGAATTAGTCTCTTGTAAGGGCTCTACTTTCGTGTGTCATAACAAGCCCATAGAAACAAAAAATCAAAGTTGTCAGACTGAAACACTTGATACCGAAACAAACTTAGAAGCTTTATCTACAAAAGTAGACCAAATCTTTCACAAGTTAAACTGTGTAAGTACTGTATTATTAATATTATTTAATGCTTTGTTTTATTTTAGCATACATAAGTGATGCTTTTCGGCATGTCGTTGAACATAAATTTGCAAATTTATCTATTTATTTGGAAGCTAGCGTAGTCTTATTAAATTCTCGTCTACAATTAACTAGATTTTTCTTTTAAATATTTTACACAAGTGAACAATAGCACTTCTTGAATGTTTACAATTTTGTAAACAACTCAGTTTAATGGTCATGGAATCCATAAACTCATTTTCTTTATATTATGCTTTCACTTTTTTACAACTATTGTTGTACATCAAAATCAGTTAGTAGTAAAGGTCGCGTGATATCATAGCTGTAGTTCCTTATTGAAGTTCACTGTATCTTCAAATTATTTACTTCCTTGACCTCTAATTGAATGTGTAATATCAATATTATTAATATATTGGTTACATTACATACAATGGTAATAAGATTCTTTTGTATAATTGCTAATCCATTGTATCATGTTCAAATAAATCGCCTGCTCATTCTATGCCAAACTTCGTGAATGAAGAGCTTATCAGACCTGATGACTAACGATTAATCATCCTATTGTTCGCCAGAGTATGAAATTTCTGATATATTCATATGGTGTAAATCTAAACAGGAGTTTAGCAGTTAAGGGCTAAACCTTTAACCATTGAGTTACAGAATCGAAATTCATTGTCTATTTACACAAGTTGGCTGTATTGTTACTCACGCCCGTTACACCTCGTAGAGGATCAAAGGCTGCCCACCAGCATTATCCATCCAACCCTGTCCTGGGCATCCTTTCCAGTTGCTATTCATTCTTTTGATGTCTGCTTCCAGTTCCTGACGTAATGTGTTCTTGGGTCTTCCTCTTTTCCTGTTGCTTCCAGGATTCCAAGTTGGCACTTGTCTCGTGATGCAGTTTGACGATTTCCACAATGTATGTCCTATCCACCTCCATCTTTTTATCCTTCTCAGCTGGTAGCTGGTTTCTTTGCTCCCACAGTAGAGTATCTTGCGAAGACAATTGTCTAGAATCACAAATGTTCTTGCTATTTATACAAGTGGTCTTATACGCAAAGCGACTGTTTTGTTTAGAACCAATAATTGCTTTAATGAGTTCTTTCAATATATTATCTGCTCACGATTTCGCCGACGGTATTTAGTTCTATTAATAAATATTTTCTATATCTAATTTACTCATCTGTCTTTGTTTCTGTACAGCATGCACTGAAATCTATTTCAGAAAGCAAGATAAAACACTTCCCCAAATTGTGGTTGGATTTAGGGGAATTAAACTATTCACCAGCGCAGTATAATCTAGGTGTATGGTACGAAAAGCAAGCATCTGAGTGCCTGTCTCTGCAGGATGGTCTGAAGCGACATTATAACAAACAAGCGGGTCATTGGTACAGTTGTGCTGTTCGGGGAGATTCCCATCCACTGGCTGCCTATAATTTAGCATGTCTTATTCTAGATTCTGAAGAGCCCATAATCCATTCAAACTCGTCAGATAAACCTTTCACATTTACAGTCACAAATCTAATGAAACTGGCCGCTGATGGTAATGTCAAACAGGTTAGTCACTTTTTTGACCACAAACTTATATACAGCATAAGGACTCGCTGTTACAGCACGTACTTTATTGTCATGATTCTAGTTTACAAATATTATCAGCCTAAATTCTCTAAAATTACCTCGGACTTTATTAGTTATCTTGTTTATGACCGTACATGCTTTCAAAAAGACATCCGCCAACTAAATCAAGTAAGATAACCCAAGATAAATCGATTTATATTGATCAGCATTTGGTTTTTGCGCCGTCTTCCTGAACCTAGTGATGAACAGATGGTCTAAATATTTATCCAGCTTACATATTTCCTCCATGATGAGCTATTTCCTCACATAAATTCTATTCAGTCAATTTTCATTTATTTCAAGGATACTGGATGTACAAAGTATAAGATAAACCGATAATTAGAGTGTTATAACTGAAATGGCGATCGTGATTGATGTGTTTTTTTAACTCATCTATGTAAAAATTTAGTACTATTTTGAAATAAATGGATCGCCTTCTTAGTTCCCAGGACTGGGTATTTTAAACTCCCATTAGTGCGTACACGTCCAGCTATGCTAACATCCAGTAATAAAAATAAAATAGAGAACTATCGTATCTGGAATTTCGATTTTCTCCTGGTATGAACTGCTAGTTGATGGATAAGGTATTTTCCTACCCCAGATTTTGATTTATGCGATTACGTGACCCAAATCCCACTGTATATTAATTCCTGCCTTACAACCAATCAAAGTAAATTACTCGACAGTTTTCTTGTGTTGAAATTTTAGGTTCTAATTTTTACCAGTGTAAACCACATTCACTTTTTGATCATCATCAAAACTGAGTCATATTATAGATCTTTTGGGAAACATTTTACCGGAGTAAAATGTTCATTATTTTGATAGATTTTATGTTCTTGTCAAATTATAAGAAACATTTCATTCTTTCTTTATTCAGGCAAAGAAATACTTATCGGAACAATGTATTACAAAAACATAGTTGATTGGTCGATCATTTGAAATTCTTATTTATTTTCTATAGTTATATTATTTTGAAAGCATTTACTAAAAACTGCATTTCATGACAACTTTCTAGCAATCGTCTTTTTACTTTAGTATTTTTCATATCCCTCATTATGACTTTGAAATCTCAATAAAAGGCAACTGGAAGAAATTGTCTTATTTTTTCTGAATGGACATGGAGCATAATATAATTCTATGTCACAAAGCCAATATTAGTATTATTACTGTTTACCATTGCCATTGTTTATTAAGAGCAATTCATTTCGCATTATAATAATTTGGAAAGGGAGTTTTGAATACTTCAGTTATTACAGCCAACATTACAAATACGTTTGCGATTTAATTGACTGATAATGTATAGGTGGATAGTGCTAGCAAAATACTGATAGTTCAAAAAAAGAAATGCTAGATTAGAAATTTCCGACGTCTTTACTTTAAAAACAATTTTTATAACTGGCAGTCAGAATTACCAATTCTTATATTTGATTACCAAGCTAAATATTTCATTTTCTGTCTATTCTGGTTCACTTAGACAGCCACCTATGGTCTGACCAGCAAACTAGGTTCTGTAATAATATCTTCAAACCCTCATCTTTCCAATTACTGCTTATACTCTTACTACCTCTACCACTATGGATGTGAATCGACACGTATCTCTGCTAATGTGGTATGGCAACTTGAACTGATGTACGTACGTACGAAGTTCAATGTTGTTGCTGACTGACTGTTTTGATAAATGTCAGTCAGCAGCAACGTAGAACTTCGTAAGTACGTACATCAGTTCGAGTTGCCATACCACATTAGCACAGAGATGTAGTTGTCGATTCAAATCTCGTAGTGGTAGAGGTATTAAGAGTATAAGCAGTAATCGGGAAGATAAGGGTTTGGATAAATGTATGCTCAACTTTTTGACCGTCAAATATCAGGGATAGATTTCTTGGCAGTATGATATTTCTATAGATCTTTGTTTTTATCGTTATGTAAGAGTTCACAATAACTGGATTTCCAAGCCATATCATGCTGTTATATGATGTTACCTACTAGGTGGTTTTTCAGCACAGCCTATTATCTATACTTGAGACAAATATTTAGTTCTGTGAGGATGCTTTTTGTTATATTCATACTTTAGTCTAACTGATAGTTACTCAGATACTTCTGTTTGAATTTACCATTTCTATGAGATCAATTAAAATAGTTACCAAGTGGAATGATATATATATATATATATAACTATTTCCATGCTCGTCCGATTTCTCAAGTCAGCTGCTCTCCCAAGCTCCATAAAACAACGTTGTTATTCGTTGACTAGCGGTCGGTTCAATTATCCACATTCTTATAAACTTCGAAAAAGAATGTTCGATGACGCGAATTAATCCCAAGTTCTTGATCTTTATTTCAATAATTATAAAGAACTAACTTAATCAACTTAAAAATAGTATTTTTTTGTTGAGATGAAAAGATCAACATAATTATCATGAATGTAGAAAGAAAAGAAGAAAGAGCCCAGTGTAATGAGAATTGATAATAAATCTAGGAAAAGTGAAGGGCAAATTGAACAAAATGTGGATTTAATAATAAATGTTAAGTAATATTAGTAGTGTGTCCATTTTCTGATAAGGAATATAATATACCATTACATAGAAAACAATTCCCTCACTGGAATGAAGAAAAGACCAATAGCGAAATAATATAAAACAATACAGTAGGTTAACCATTATTAACATGTAAACAACGTAAATTATCACAGTTCCAAAAAGTTAAAAAAAACATCAATATTTTCTGGTAATTGTATGATAAATCAACTGAAGTATTGACTGATTATCTTACATTCAGCAATTAATAAACATAGTACTGACTAGTTAGTTAGCTTATAAGTAAGAAAAATAAAAGATACATTCAAAATTGCCTGGTGACGATAATCATTAAGGTACATGTTTAGTTTGAGTATCTGGACAATTCGTATCTGTATTTGTCGGAGTCTTCACATTCATACTTGTCTTGATATTATCCTCCAAGTTAGATGGTGGGAATTCTAGAAGTTCTATACCCTGTTGTACTTGAGTTAATGTCTGTTGCATCTAAAATTTAACGAAAAAATGTAATTGCACAAAAGATTGATAGATCAATTATGTAACTACTCAACAGCTGTATAATATATGAAGAAGTTATATTTGAAATAATCTCAGCGATTGAAATTTAAATAATTCCAACGTTTCGTTCAGTAAATTTGCTGTAACCGACGAGACAAATTTGTCACCAAGACTTATTCACATCACTGGTATATACATATATATATATATATATATATATATATATATATATATATATATATATATATAGGATCGAAGTAATATTAATATTCTCTTACCTGTATAAGTGTTTTAGATAACAGGTGTATGAGATCTTTCATCACTTTTAATCGTGTTCTTGCCCATTCAGGTGATTTTGAAGCTAAATGATCCTTGTAAATTGGTATAGATCCTCGATCTTCTTGTGGTGATGTTCCAAATAGATCATGAAAATGATTCCGATCATGAGCTGATAGAGGAGGAAATTGTTCCGCTAGTTTTTCTAAAACTACTAGCCGATTATATACCATTGATAAGAATAAGCAAAGTAATAAACCTCTGTGAAAGAGAAAATGCAACAAGGAAGATACAATGACTGGTTTCAGAAAATTAATGGTATAGAAATATATATAGTTTTGGGCGAAATGAAGTATTATTAAGTGTGGAAAAAAATTATTGCTTTAAATCCCTATATTTAATCAGCCAGTCAAACCAATTTGAATACAATTTGAGAAAATGAACTTCTTTTTCTGATTCATTGATTTCGTAAAAGCAGTTTTGTTATCTCATCAAAATTAAATTTGGTTCACTACTATGAATCCTTGTCCATTGCTTTGTAACCCCTGAATTTATAAGTACATCGGAATATGTTTCGAGTATATACAGTCATGTGAAATGCAGATACAACAATCTGGCGATTGTCAATTCATGGGTATAATAGTTTCCACAAGGTATGATAACAAATCGACTTCAAAAGTCTAACGTAATGAAATACGCCTCACTCATTGAGTCCATAATGAAGTCACAAAAACTTATGCGGCTCTTTCAAATGAAGTATTCTGTGAACAGATGTATTCATTAATAAGAATGGTTGTATGTATGAGAAGGGAAACACCGAATACAGTAGATAGAAACTGACTTGAAATTGAAATATGGAGTAAAAGAGGTACAAGTTAATTTAGTTTATGATACAGCACTGATTAAATAGTCCTATAAAAAAAGATTATTAGTCGAATTATCTAAAAATAGTCTCTTTATTCGTTATATGTTTGAATATACACAATAATACTGAATTCTAATCAAATAAAGAATTTTCCACAACTGCTACAGGGGTTACATAGTTTTTTGATGTATCTACGATTCATTGAAACAACATAATGACAAACTTCTACCACTGCATGTCTTCCATTCATGTGGCGTATTAGTCGATTCGGCCGTTTGAACAATGAATTAAGAAAATAAGTCTTCATATTGATTATCTGTCATACAGCAGTACGTCGTATCAAACAACCACTAAGTACATGTTTATGTACTCTTTTGAGTTACATTGTATAGGGATAGTGATGCGGTGAGGTTAGAACCCGTAACTTTTCTGCTTAAGAGATGAGTGTTTCAGTCATTAATTTACTGCTCTATTCATTAGCTCATAAATAATTCGAATATTTTACTGATAAATGAGGAAAGAATCCCTGAGAACACAAGTAGGGACAATCGAATGTATGTGAACACAAAATTACAGAACGTCTGAGAACCATACAGTAAATACTTAGTTAATTAATTGCCTCACACCTGACTGTTATTTTTGCGAATATCAGTCAATCGTCTCGGACTTCATTCTTTCACACCAATCACTTTGTTTTCGTCCTCTTTTCTTTGGTCTTCTGCCTCCAGACATTTCACTTTGACTGATAATAAATACTACTTATATCTGTCAACATTAGTTGCACACACCACATGGGGAATAAGTGGAACAAAATAATAAACCTCTTTCTCTGACCAATAAGCTATTAGGAAACTTTCGAAGTGAATTTAACACACACAAAAATACTTGCGCAAAAATACCACTTACATAACAACTAGTAATAACCAAGCACGATCTGGACGCATAAATAAGTAAGTCATATCACCAGACCCGAATAGTGTAGTTTTATTTTGTTTTTTAACATTTGTATTATCATTTATACAGTTGTTGAATATAGATGATTTCGCTTGATCAGAATATCGTGATGCAGGAACTTTACTACTGTTTACATTCCCTGTAAACAATGTATCAGCTTTATTAAGTTTACGATTATTCTGATTACCATTAACACTTTGAATTAATAGTGAATTATTTTGAATATTTGATGGATTTAACGAAGGAGTAATATTGTTTAAGCATCCTCTCTGTTGTGCTAACCAACCACCGGTTAGACGTTCTTCTAAGGATAAATTTGTAGAGAATTCTTTTAATTTAATAGTTATTGTATCAAAGAAATCCGAAAGACCAGAATGACAAGTGTTTTCTATGATACTTTTTGCTCCAAAAAACACTGGTTTCTCATAAATAACTTGTGAACTAACATGTAGTCGGCTAGTTGTACGATTTACATACAATAAACAATAACGACTAACTACATAGAAACAATTACTTAGTGGTACAGCATGATTTGTAACTTTAGCATCAATGATATATCTTTTCCCAGATATGGATTCACTTGAGAGAAGAGTCTGAAATTCACAACAAAAAGTTAAACCATTTGTAAATATTTAAATTTTGCGTTAATTTATCTAAAATTGAACAAAAGAAAAGGTATCAGTTGAGTAAAAAAAAACGTGAAAGAATAATACGTAGTCAAATTAATGAACACTACCGACATATATATTGTTATTTATAATATCTTTAGTTAGAAAGGTAAATAATTATCATGGAAAGGAACATACAGAGAGAATTATTAGTAGAGTTATTTACTGTAAAATAAGCAAAATACATGAACTCTAACCATAGACTATAATATTTGTATGATGTTAACTAACACCGTTGATCAATATGAATGGTCAAAACAAACTATTCTGTTAAATTAAATACACATTACAAATAATTGATGGATGTTCGCTAAAACTAACATAATCTATGCGGATATTGGGTATTAGAAAACTAATCAATATTACGTACATGATTTAATTCAAACATTCATCCATAGGCAATATAACCATAGTGAATGATAACAACTTCAAATGGTAAAGATTTAAATAAATGATTATAAATAATATTCTAAAGAACCAAAGGTTCTCAATCATTATCCTAATTGTCAATCAAGTTAAAGTCATTATACTAAGAGACTAGTTCGCAAGTATGGTTGATCTTCGCAAGGGAGAAGGCTTATAAAATATATATACAAACAGATGAAAAAACTTATAACTTAAAAATAATGGCTAAGTTTTGACAAATAATGATTATTTTAGTAAAAAACCAACCAACAATACAATGGGATTAAACTAATACTAGTACTAAATTTTTACATTGACAATAAAATGTAACTGTATATAAAATTAAAATTATTGAATTTTCACACGTATAAGATCACTTAGGTGGACTGTAACAATGAGTCAATGAAACACGACACTGCACTGTTACTTTCTTTTTTCTTTCAAATTAGTTAAATTCATGTTGAAATTGATAAAACAAATAATGAAAATTCGATTATTTGCTCCATTGTCACAAAATGATTTTTGTGTAGTAGTTCTCCCCCTAAAAATGGTTTTATACATCCAAGAGTTTGGGTCTCTGCCAAGGACGTCCACGTGGTGAAAGTGATTTTACAAAAAGAGAAGCTGAAAAGCGAACGTCTAGGGCTTAAACTCCGCTTTTAAATATGGATAGTTCACCTGAGGGAGCTAGAGAACCATTATTCCAGGATGACGGTGTACATAGGATCTAGATATGAAGAATAGTATACCGATCTATTTAGACCACTGGCTACTATGGTAGTGCATCTTATGAACTTGCTTAATCGCCTTGTGTATCATGATCTTGTTTCAGAGCTTATAAGATTAGTTCCAAAATAAAACCACCCACTTCAATCTCGGCCTTAAGATATTATCTTGGAGCCCGCACACAGAAGTTTACCACGTCGTCATTAAAAGAATGCATACGAAGCATGGCAAGTTAACTGCATACACAACCAAAAAAATAGTTGCTTTCTTACGAGCACTACTTGTTATTAGTAAGTAGTATGATATTTATTTATACAAAAAGGTCGGACTGTGGACTAAGTTCATTTACTTCAACAACAGCTTCACGAAGGAGACTAAAATAGCAGGTTAAAAAGAGAAATCCATCGTTACAATTTCCTGTTTCTCTATAAAAAAATAGTTTGTCAAAGCATTTTGGCAAAAGAGTATGTTGCTTAAGTAGATAAATAGCATAATTAATTAGGGGACAATCAATAAACGACATTTTCGATTTAGCAAGAATTACTTAGCATTACTTTTAAAAATTTGTCAAAACTTCGAGAAAAAAATTGTAAAATAATTACCTGTTGTTCTACTGCCGTGCATGTTCTTGGGCCGAGTTTCTGTTTTAACGTTAGTGTATAGGTAATCGTTCTTTCAATTTTACTAGAAGTTTCTAACTGATTTAAACATTCTGAGGGACTAGACCACTTAAATATTGGCCATGGAGATTGAATCATTCCAAATGTACCACGATGTTCACTGAATCGCGAGAAGAATTCCGAATCCGTGAAAATACATTGAAATAAGGCGTTAACATTCAATGGAATGTCAGTGTTTGTATACACTCTACCTGGATGATCGTGACCTGGACCACATGTGATAGGAGGTTCCGTAGAACTTACTACAGATGTATCTGGAAGTGACGGGTCCTGAGTATTCAAGTAATTAAGTTGCATTAGTTTTGAACTAGATACTTCATCATGATGGTGAGATCCGAGACGTTTTTTTCGCGTACGTTTCTTTTTCTCTTTTACAGATTTATGAGGCACTTGAAAGCTATCTGACATAACTTCATTAGGTGTAGTTCCTGATGTTAAATGACATTTAACTTCAGGGGTAGGACAACGTTTGATAGTGTTTAGTTGTTGAGACTGTGGTTCATCCCCAATTGTACTGAAGTGACTCGGATCTGAAAAGGATGGAACATGTTTAAAAGGAATATCAGCATCGGATACAACTTTTAATTCATCATCCGTAGTTCCTAGTACGGAACATTTAGAAGAGCGATCGAGATTAACTGGTTGATCCGAATGGCACACATCTTCAAGTGAAGCCGACTTCGATCGACCAGTGAGTTGTGAAGACAGAGATGAATCGGATAAAGTTCGCGGCTGCTTGTGATGAATACAAAAAGAAAATTGGTATATACATACATATGTACATATACGAAAAAAATCATAATGGTGATCATGATTTGTAATGAACTAATACAAATGAGTAAAAAATCTAAGTTTGAAAATTAATGATTTTCTAGTACATTTAAAAGTGGTTTTCAAAACAAGCAAATTCTACTTGTAACAAGTTTCACATGAAACTGTGTATTTTCAACTATAGTCGTTGTCATGCTATGGGGTTTAATAAATCTTCACTTCTACCAGTTTTGGTGATCTTATTTCGCGTCATGGGAATTGCAAAGGTTTCTCGTTTTACAAGTATAAATAATAAGCGATTCCAATATAACAATTAGCAGCAATCAGTCATAACATAAACCTCATATTGATTGATAAGAACGAACAATTATCATTTCAATTTACATAAATAGGGACTTTCAACAGTTTTTTTTAAATAAATTTTTTAGTTGATATCATTCTCTGATGATAAAAACAAAAACTATCCATAAACTATTTATGATTTTTAACATTAAACCATTTTATATTGAGTCCAGTGTAACCGGAAAATAATTATGAATAAACCTACTGATTGAATTAATATATAAAACAAATTGAAACAAAAAAAACATAACTCTAATTGAGAATAATAATAATGATAAGTTAACCATTTTCATAAAAAACCCCATAATCCATGTGATTTTCGACTGATTTGAAATGAGTATTTTTATACCCTTTTTTTATATGGTCAAATTACAAATGAATAAAACAATGATGGTTTAAACAAAACAAAACAAACGAACACAGTGTGTAAACAATGTTTAAAGAAGTTTTTTTTAAAAAAAAAAAGAATTACTTAATACATTTTCAACATAGAGACAATGAACTGGATTTGTAAGAATACATAATAGAGTTGAATGAAACATCAAGACATTTATTTGTAACTCTATATGTTTTAATATTGAATAAACAAAACATGATAGTAAAGTATAATGAAATTATGAAAGTTCATAACCGATTATGTCTCTGAATAAAATTATCACTGGTTTTCATAAGAATATAGTAGACGAAGGTTTATTTGACAATTTGTAATTATTGCATTTTAAATACTTTAAGAATATTGGAAATATTTTATTGATGACATAAAGTAGGATAACCAGATGAATAAACACAGATTATCAATCTGTAAGTTAGATTTAGCCTTGTAAACAATTAATTTTTTTTTAACGTGTCCAGTACAATAAAATGTTATAACAGGTAACCAAAACTTCGTAGTGGGAAACGGTTACTTTATAAATGGATTATCAGAGTTGAGTCCTAAACGAGGCCCTTTTTGAGAAGTAATTTATGTCAGTGACCTAGTGAAGAAAAGTGAACTTGATAGTTAGATAGTTTGATTTACAATCATAAAGTCATAAATTCAGGTCTGAATTCCACTTTATTACTGTTTGAGTAAGTGACTAGGATAATTAAAGGTTAAACAAATAGAATGGTTAAGTAAAATATTTGTTTAAACACAAACACTGGTACAAGGAGGCACCAAATATATGCGATATACACATCAATCGATTAGTGTGAGGGTTGGAATACTGCCCACGCGCTCAAAACGAAACAGGCGGTTTTCTTAGGCAGCCGCTCCTCGAGCCTTTGACCTAGAGGTCTGATCCACAAGGCAGTGGAGCAACGTTAAGAGATGCAGTGCCATGGTAGCTGGTGACCAACAATAGATTCATACACCAATTGTCCTCTCTGGATCGTGGAGCTCATGTACACCACAGGTTTGAAACCACAGTTTTACAACTCACCCAGGTAGATGAAAGAATCAGTAAACGCTCAGTTTCTAGATCAACAGGTCGGATTCTGTAACGATCGGTCGTGAAAAGACCGAATCGTGACACTATGGATCATCGTTGAACGACCAGTTGAGTGGAATTCATCACTATACCTCAACTTCTTTGACTACGAGAAAGCACTTGACAACGTGGATAGGAGAACATTATGGAACCTTCTTCAACACTATGGTGTACCTGAGAAGATCGTCAACACCACAAGGAATTCATACGACGGATTACACTGCAAAGTCGTGCATAGAGGACAACTAACAGGCATGTTCCAAGTGAGGATCTTAGTCAGACAAGACTGCTTACTGTAGCCCTTACTCTTTCTTCTGATAAGTGACTGGATTATAAATAATATACAGTTACTTCCTACAATTGTCTCCAGTTTTACTGATTTTTCATCAGATATCTCACAGTCTGAACGTCTTAAAGGTGAATACATAGAAACTATTTTATTTCATACAACTTATGTGTTCTTATCTAGGTTTATAATAACAACGCTTTATGCTAAGTTTCCTCAAATATACGTGTTTAACGTAAAAATCATGCACAAATGTAACAGTTAGTATTTTTAAAAATATTCTTCCACCGTCTGAAAGAGTTACTAGTTAGTGAAGATCGTATACAATCATTCCATTTAAGCTAGAAAACAGATTTTACAACAGATTGTTATCAGCTGAGAAATTTCCAAAATATGTTTTACCTTAATTCAACACCCTAAAGCATAAGATACTCACAAAGTTATATAGGAGAATTCATCATTGGATCCCAAATTATTAACTAAATAATATCGTTTCCATCAGGCAATCTGAAAGCTTTATTTTCAATCTTATGTACACATGCTATTATTCAAATTAAAGCATAGTGATTATTCAGTAAGCATAGATATTTACCATTTGTTTAATCAGAATCACTGACAGTGATTGGAACACTTTAAACAACCGTTTATTTGAATAAAATTCATGTTAATTCCAATACGATATGATGTATTAAATATTATTAATCTTCTTTTAGTTATCTTTAGAACTGCAAACTTTCCATTGATTTATTTCATGACAAGACAAATTGTTATCACATTATTATAAAACTATTCTGCTGATAGTATACACTATTAGTGCATATCAGATTAATTTATATTCTGCACATTAAACAATATAAATTCCATTATTATTATGTTTAACATCAATTACTCGGTGAATTGTGTTTGTTGAGAAGAATCTTTAAACCGTCTATCATCATTTCACAACAAGGAAAATAAGCCACAATGTTAAAACACTGTGATTTAAATGGCTACATTAACAAATAAAATCGATAAAGTTCGATTAACATTAAGAAACCGATAACAATGATTACCGTTACACAACCTTAAATATATGATTGATGAGAAGAATCACTGTTTGAAGTTATTTGTTATTTTTAATAATAAAGAATATGGGGTGCATAAATTTTAATCTGATATATTATCATCATATAGCGCATTTGTTTATGTTAACTATTCGAAAGACCATATATTAGATTAAGGCTAACATTGTTCGAAGTGACCTTATATCATATTGTGTAAGTAGACATATTGTTTAATAATTCACTTTAAAATTTCTTTATAATCTAAATAATTCATTGTGTGTTATTCAAGTTAAGACATCCCATCAATTTGTATGTTTTCAATGTTTATTTATATGAAATATTCAAAGTTTAAGCATTTAGTTGAAATACGCAATACATAAGCTGTTGAGAAATAAAATGGAAATCAAAACGGCAATCTAGATCATTTTGTACGTGTACGCAAATTTACGATTGCATGATTTAAATGAGACTGAACAAAATATCTAATTAGTTTAACACCAAAGCAAACTCTTTCAGATAACCATGATAAAAACAGGATGGCGGTCCAATATTAGCAGTGAGATTGACTGAGGTCTTAGGTAGAATTTGGGTACTCGATGTAATCCCATCTGACTGGTCTCAACCACTGATTGTGCCAGTCTATAAGAAAGGATAAAATTCCTCTTGTGACAATCACAGAGGAATCAGTTTCACTAATATAGTGTCTAAAATATTAGCTTCAATCATACTTCGACGCCTAACTAAAGCTCGTGAAGAGCAGACTAGAAAAATCAGGCTGGTTTTCGGCCTGGACGTGGTTGTATAGACCAGATATTCACACTACATCAGGTCCTAGAACATAGACATACATTCAGACGTCCCACAATCGTAGTATTTCTCGGCCTTAAGGCTCTGTTGATCGCGAGATGATAGCGACGATGGTTAGAAACCTTGAATAACATGGCTCAAAATCGTTTGCAACGGCGCAGGTGCATCTACTCTTTGTGTTCTCCAAAATTCTAATCTTCTGAATTCTTCATGTCCATTTTTTCTCTTTCCAAATTTATTTCATTGGGTTATACTCCTTGAATAACATCTTCAAACCCTAATCTTTCCGATTACTGTTTATACTCTTACTACCTCTACCACTGTGGGATTTGGATCGACAACTGCATCTCTGTGCTAATGTGGTATGACAACTCGAACTGACGTACGTACTTACGAAGTTCTACGTTGTTACTGACTGACTGATAAACATAGTCTGCATTCATATTTAACATAGTAGCAGACAAGAAATATAATATAAACTGACGTGTGCTTAAATCTTCTCGTCAACTGATAATGAAGTTCTTAATGTAATGAAATAGTGAAGGTAGGTACTAAAAATCCCTAGTAAACTTTATTACGTTTAGTTTGTAAACGTTTTCATGTCAAAGAAAACAATGATTCGCAAATAAAATTGGGCATGTCGCTAAATATGGCCACAAAATTTTAGCAAGTTAATCTGAATTATCAACTTGTTCGTAGAACATTTGAACTATGGATACTGCCATCAGTTATCTTAGAAAGTTTACGTTACAAAAGCTAACGATTAAAGATCAGAGCGATTTTGATGAGATACCTAGGCACATGGGAAACTCTACATACTGACACAGATTTCCAATAATGGAGATTATATGTTTAATTATGTTGTGATGTCTAGAAATTTATTCACCAGTGATTGTTTCATTGTATATGCTAGACAGATGAAATTTATTATAGGTTCTGAAGCAGTAGCGCCTGACCTTGTCGATATCATTGCGACACTTAATATAAGGGGTGAATTCGTATTAGTTTGGTCGGTCACAGATATAACATTTATTTACATAATACAACTGTTAGTTTTACTTGTAAGAGACCGATTCAATAAAATTTAAGCTTTCTAAACAACCTTTAGCATTTAGTTAATGTAAAAGAAAGTGTAAAGACAGATACGAAATAAGTAACACATATCGAATGAAACAGATGATCTTCTGAGACTTGTTCAGATTACAGTACATTTGCATTTGAGATCTCAGAACTTCTATCCCCTCTGGAGTTTTGCATTTATGTTAGGTTTACAGTAATCTTTGGTGAAGAAAGTACACGACTGTCGAAGTCAATCTTTACCTGCACCACATTCTGCGACTCTATGTCACAAAACTGGACACTCTCAAGACAAGTTGACAGTTAACAAAGGACAAGTCAAACCTAAAAATGTTATGAAACTAGTGATAGAGATTGTCTGATGCACTAAACAATGCCATGGTCATATAGCTAAACTTTAGTAGGCTTTTGCAAAATTAGGAAACAGTAATTGTTAACATTTCTTAAATCTCATATAAAGAATGTAACTAGAAATCGGAGAGCGTGGAAACTGTAGCTACCTACAGATTACTTAAAACATTATAAATAATATAAATCATCAAGAGCCTGGGAATTAAAGAACATTTCGAAGTACATCATCAAAACAGACTTGGAACACTAAGTGTAAAACTTATATGACCGTTTTAGATAGTTGTTTGGACCAAAAAATTCAAAGCCATAAGAACTTATAAATTTCAAACTAGTATCATCAATTACAGAGTTATTCAGTGTGGGTAACCCATTTTGGATCATACGAAAGATAATTTGAACTACCATATAACCAACCCGACCATACCATTAAATAACAAAGAAGTGACTACATAGGTAGTATCAAAATAGTTACTTTTTCCAAGACAAAAACTTTGTATCCATTGGTATCCGACAAATTTATGTCGATAACAAATGAGGTATTCTTTGAGTTACAACAGAGAAAAACAAATATATAAATGGACACATACAAAGACGAAACAGCTTTGTGGTGCACCCTGATTTTCAGCTGTTCCTTAGTTAGTACTGTTTCATGATATAAAACAACCAAAACTAATCTTGACAAAACCTTATGTATGTATTTAGAACTAAATGACTTGGAGATTCATTTTCAAAGTTCTAGTCAGATATCAAAGATGATCAGCTTCAGATGTGTACGGAATGGGGTTGTTATATAACGATGGCATCAAATCTGACTATATCGAAGAGAAGCTTAAAATGTAAACTATTGAGTTGTGACTCATTAGCTAAATGAAATATTTTCTTAGAGGTTTTAGGTACAATTTCTGACGTGATGATAAGTGTAAATTGCTACTGACAAGTTCCATACTAAGACGGAATACCTATCCATAGCTAATATTCCAGTTGGTATCAACTATCGACAAAAACAAGTATAATAGAAAATGTGGAACAAATAGCAACAAGAATTAACTTACCATATGAGGAAAAGTAGTCGGGACTAATTCAGCATCACCATCTGTATCTTCTTCATCTTCAACCATAGCTAAACTATAATCACCATACATATCACGTATTTGTTGTAATATTTCATCAATACTCATTGTCTATATTTAACATATAAAAATTGAAGATATGAAAAAAGACAAAATGAGAATATTTCTATACAAAATATGAATAATATAATTCACTTGAGTAATAGTACAGCATCGATAAGATTTTGTTCCTTGTTGGAAAATTTTAACAAATCAATCTAGTTCAAAAAATTGTTTCGTGGTACATGGGAATATTGTAGTAGTAAACAATCTGATTGTCACTCTCTTACGTTCTAACTTAATTGTACAGTTGTGCTTCCAATGAATTAAATTGACATATCAAGCACTTTGCAGGATTAATTAAATTATCGTAAACATCCACTAAGAGTGACTAATAAATTTGTTTGAAAGTACTATATTTTTTACCAAGTAAACATTATGGTTTCTATACAAAGTAACTTTAAAAGTTGAATTCTTCACAGAATATAACTAATCTGTAACTAACAATTATTGGTAAACAACAGAAAAGTTGAGTTACGGTTAACAAAAAGAACTTAACCTTCGTTAATTCTGTAACTTTTTCTACATGAATTGGAACGATACAAGAATCAAATTAGCTATGTACAAAATGAGGAGATTTGGTAGTAATTATCCAAGATCGTAACCATCATAGAAACATATGAAACAATTAAACAAAACATTAAAAAACTGGCATGTATGTAAAGTTATTTTTATAAGGCAACCTACTATTTTAATGAAAAGATAACTTAATTATTTACGTATTATGTGACAGATTGGCGATGGAATGAAGATGTTTTTTTAAATAAAATTGTCATTTATATTGTATGATAAGAACATAATTATACAAGTTATTGATAGTGTTAGCCAACGAACAAAAATCTATAGTTCGCGATATTTCATACAAAGATAAATAAACACACACACACACATGTATACAGATACGGAGATTGGAAAGTTAACTATTCTAATGATTATAAACATCAAGACCAACGTAGTCTGACATAAACACAGCATTAGCTTAATTAACTATGAAATCTATTGAATTATCATAAAAGTAATTTACACTATTTTTTAGAGAACAGAAAGAATTTAATGGTGAGATTAATTGGAACATTTTCTGAATGTTCATTAAATGTGATATACCAGGTACAAGATTCACTTTTCTGTTCATTCTATTTGATAAGTAAAGTATATTAGAGTGTAATGTAAAATAAATATTTTATTGCAAGCAAATAAGATGTTCTATGAAAATGTTAATGTCTAGTGAGAAAGAAAAATACACTAATTCAAACCAGAGTTTGAAATGAAATATTTAACGGATATTCCTCTCTAATAATAAGCCATTACTTACTAAGTAAAAGAAATAACGATCAAAGTGCTGAATACAATGAAGTGGAAAATGTTTTGAATAACCTGAACCGAATTTACAGCAAACAATTTTCTTACAACGAGCTAGTAAAAGCGAATCAAATTATTCTTTCATATGTATTATTTTCAGTGAGTTGTTCACAAGCAAAATAACAAACGAAATAGACGTTTAATTATCTTGGTGGGAAAGAAATGATAGTAAATAGACCTGTCAACCGCCAAATTTCAACAGAAAGTATGAAAAGTACAAAGTTTCTTCATAACTAATATACGCTTATTCATTTATCTATATAGTTTAGCCCTAGATAACACAATAATTACAAGTTACTTAAAGCACAAAAAACTTTCTGATCAGATACAAAAAAGTAATCATAAACCAGTGTTCTTTTAAGAAACTGGCTTCAGCTGATTGCTCGAAAACTGTATCACATTATTATTCACTACAAAAAAAGCCATGGGCAATATGTCCTTAAAAAAAACACTCCAAGAGTTTGATGACACTACTAGTTTCATGTAAAAAAGAGATAACTAAGTTTATTATTTGTTCAATAGACAAACCTGATTAATATTAAACCAAAGGTCAGAAATATCAGTAATGGTATTCAAATCTTGAGCTTATCATTCGATAAACCGATAATCCTTATCTCTATTGAGTCTAGAAAAAGTAATCTTTTTAGTACGTATACGTGATAATTAATTCTTTGTCTATATTTTCATTAATTAATCACACAATGGTAAGAAATGCCATATATCTCTAGTGTTTATTGCTGACTGAATCCAAGTTACAACATAGCCACTAGTCCAAGTGATTAAAGGCGATTAACAGGAAGCCAATTACCCAGGTTTCAAGCTATTTGACGTACCTTACAAAGGATATACTTGCAGTCTAAACGGAATTATTGTTCCACATGGAATAGGGGTCTATATTATCCTGCTTTACAATCACATGCGATACTAGACAGCTATTCAGGTTACTTTGAATCTCAGGTCACATAACACTGCATCCTTTATGTGTTCTTTATTGTTAAGATTTTAATTGGAATATATGTCTTAAAAATGATTGAGATGTCTAAATCTGGAACTTACTGTCGAAAGTCAAGTTCCTTAACTGTTAAGTTGTTTAGTAACTATTATGTCAGTCAAAAATATAAAAATGAAGAGAATTTCAGACGACCAAGAGAAATTACACAACACAGCAGAAATACGACTACTGAACATAAATTTAGTGAATGTTCTGAAAACAAAATACACAGTCCTTGTACAAGCTATAAACATTAATACCAAAAAAAAGAAAAATCCACAATCTAGGTTAACTCCATGCCACTCCTCCCTCTTATCCATTTGTCGTTAATTAGTTACAGTTAAATAATTCAGTCAAGAAGATACGTCTAATATAAAAATGGGAGGATTTCAAGTTTCCATCACACTGGAAAATAGAAAAAACAGACATAGAACTAGCGAGTACGAAATAGCGTGAAATATAAGAATAGATATATATAGATGCTGAGAATAACACCGGTAATTTCCAGTAAATTGTTCATTAGTTAACTATATTCCACCATTTTGTAAGCAAAACTATAACTGACATTGACAAGTTTCTCACTACAAAATACGTTTAGTTTCAATATCACCACAAACTGTAGAGCGTTAACCAAAACGAAAAACAGTTATTAGTGAGTTTTAGACTTTGAAAAACAACCAACAACTTTACAAGTTATAGTTGAAAGACTAAAAAATTTTGTAAATCTGAATAAAATTCAGAGCAATTGAGTTAGAGACGAGAAAAGTGTGTATTTTTTAAAAGTTATTTACAAGGAACAGGAGAAAAAAGTTAGAGAGAGGAAGAAACATGTAGTGTATGGATAAACTCAATCTATCAACACAATGTTAGACTGCAAACGACAAAATAATAATAATAATAGCAAGAGGCATAGCTTACCTGATTTATTTGTACAAGTGTCTTGTGTTTTCACACCGGGAAAAGATAAAGATTTCGATATTAATGACTAAGAGACAAGTATTTCATGTGCTTTAAAGAAAAGACTATTTATTACATTACCAATGAACCGATGTATTCATTTCTATGTTTACAAGTATATATGTACATATGTACTGGTAATATATATGATTAGAGAATCAAAACAATATGAAATAAATAAGGGAATTCAGGCGCATAATTACTGTTGACTAAATCAAAGATTGTAAACACTATGGGTTGCTTCTTGAAAAAAAACATCATCATTTACTTATCCACTGTTCATTATAATTGGTTGAAAAATTCAACTTTTTCCTATCGAAATCATTAAAAAATAGTCGAAAAATCCAAATAAGGAAGTGGCAGAAAGCAAAACAGTTATCGATCGACGGTACTTTCTATTAATTGAAGTTAAAAACAACATCGAGACCCTACTCCACTTAATTCAGTTTCAGTAACCAGATAGAATTATTTTAACCATATTAAATAAGTATTATGAATCAAAATTGAATGAATACGTATAAATATGTGGCAAAACCGTGACGATACATAATTCATAATTCTTTTAAAAGCACATAATAGTTTATAATTTAATGTAGATAGAAATTGCAATAGTTCTTTAATACTAACATATTTTCAATGTGGGGGTGAGTGGGGTGTGTTGATTTTTTGCATTGAAATCATTAACCAATCAATGTTAAACCGCGATTAAAAAACTTGAAGCAGTAGATGGGCGTCTCGTCCTAGTATGGGATTTTCCAGCAGTACGTATCCACGACCCTTCAAGCGTGAATCGAACCCAGAACCTTTGATTTCACGCACAAACATGTAACCTTTAAACCCCTAAGCCGGGATCCAATAGTGTAAATGTTAAACTTCAACCAATCCACGATATTGTGCGATTATCTACCAATTTCTTCGGTGGGTTTGTTTATTTTATTTTTCTAGTTCAAATTTGTCGGTCGTAAATTTCAATACTCGAACATTATGACATACAGAATACCATTGAAGAAATCTATGTATACTGAGTAGGATCAAAGTGAAACTGGTATAAAGCGGACTTGTGATATCATAAATCACTATGAGTTTGTTTTATGAATGAATAAGAAAAAAGACACTTTATAGAAGTAAAAATATTTGACTCCATTAAGTTGATTAATAAAACAAGTAAAAGGATGTAAACAGATCTCGACCCTATAAGTTGACCAAGTATATTAAGCATATAATTCTCTGAATGGTATAAATATAACTCGATCAACGAGAGTTTATTTGATCCACCATGCATTAGAAAAAATAAAACACATTTGGTTTATAATAGCATTTCCAACTGACATCCCTTCAGTCAGTCAGTCAGTAACAACGTAGAACTTCGTATGTACGTACATCAGTTCGAGTTGCCACACCACATTAGCACAGAGATGCAGTTGTCGATTCAAATCCCATAGTGGTAGAGGTAATAAGAGTATAAGCAGTAATCGGGAAGATTAGGGTTTGGAGATGTTATTTAAAGAGTATAATCCAGTGAAATAAATTTGGAAAGAGGAAAAAAGTAACATGAAGAATTCAGAAGATTAGAATTTGAGAGAACACAGAGAGTAAATGCACCTGCGCCATTGCAAACGATTTTGAGCCATGTTATTCAGGGTCTCTAACCATCGGTTGCTATCATCTCGCGGTCCCCAACCAGGTAGTCTACACCTACCAACATGACTCAGTTCACTTGTCAGTGACTTCATGGACTTGTGCCATGTTTTGGTTTGGCCGCCCCTAGCTTTCTTCCAACCTACTCCTATACCACAAAACATCGCACTTCGAGGCAGTCGGTCGTTGGGCATACGTAACACGTGTCCCAGCCATCTCAACTGATGAAGTTTCACTACTTCATCAATTGATTTGCCATCCTTACCTAGTACCCGTTTCCTAACAACTGTGTTACTTACTCGATGGTCCCATGATATACGAGCAATGTTTCGAAGACACCTATGATCAAAAACTAGTAGCCTACGGATATCCTCTACTCTTACCGGCCATGTTTCACTGCCATAAAGTAGGACGGAACGAACTGCTGCGCAGTAAACACGTCCTTTGATTGATAGACGGATATCTCGCCTACGCCATAAATGACGCAAGTTGGTAAAAGCTAGTCGAGCCTTCTGTATCTGTGCTGAGATTTCGTCACACACCAGACCACAAGGGCTGATGAGACTTCCAAGATAAGTGAAGCGGTCGACACACTCAACTACTTCACTCCCTATCACTAGTTCGGGTGTCGATGTAACCCAATCCTGAAGCAATATTTTGCATTTCGAGGGAGAGAATCGCATCCCGAACATGCTTGCATTGTTGCTTAGAGTGGTCAGAATACTCTGCATTTTGTCAGCATCTTCATTAAATAGAACTATGTCATCAGCATATTCTAAGTCAACAAGTGAACCTCCTGGTAGAAGTTCAACCCCTGGAAATCTAGACGAGGAAAGTGTTATCTCTAGAAGTACGTCCACGACAAAGTTGAACAAGAATGGAGAGAGTGGACAGCCCTGACGAACACCACTTGAGGTAATCAATTCTGATGACAGTTCGCCATTAGCTCTCACTCGACCAGTTGTGTTCGAGTAGAGAGCCTTTATAAGGTTAATGTACTTCTTTGGTACTCCTTTCAGTGACAAACACTGTCATAGAACCTCACGATCAACAGAGTCGAATGCCGCCTTAAGGTCGAGAAATACTACCATTGTGGGACGTCTGAACGTGTGTCTGTGTTCTAGAACCTGACGTAGTGTGAATATCTGATCTATACAACCACGTCCAGGTCGAAAACCAGCCTGATTTTCTCTAGTCTGCTCTTCACGAGCTTTGATTAGGCGTCGAAGTATCATTGAAGCTAAAATTTTAGACACTATATTAGTCAAACTGATTCCTCTGTGATTGTCACAAGAGGACTTTTGTCCTTTCTTATAGACTGGCACAATCAGTGACTGAGACCAGTCAGATGGGATTACGTCCAGTTCCCAAATTCTACCTAAGACCTCGGTTAATTTCATTGCTAATACTGGACCACCATCCTTAAAAATCTCAGGAGTAAACCTGTCAGGGCCTGCTGCTCTCCCTCGTTTCAGATTTCCTATGGCTTTTTCAACTTCGTAAAAAGTCGGAGGACCTACATTAACTTGCCATTCAGGTTGACTAGAGATCGTGGGAAACCGAAGTGTGGCTGAAGGCCAGTTGAACTGATCCCTAAAGTGTTCTGCCCATCGATCCAATCTCCTTGATTGAGAATGAATAATATGTCCATCTTTCTCTGAGATTGTTTCGCTAACGGTCGGGTTCCTGATTCCGGTTTCCTTAACGAGTCTGAACAATTGTCTGCTATTTCCTATTGCCGCTGCCTTTTCCATCTCTCTTGCTTTCGCTACCCACCACTGTTCGCGATCATTGCGTAGGCTTCTGGTCAGCTTGCGCTTAAGCTGACTCCGCTCTTCATTATGTTCAGAGCCAGGTGGAATGTGTTTCCGAGCATTTATCAGTGAGATAGATGCTGCTGAGATCCAGTGTTGCTCCCTAACCTTCTGGTTTACCTTACTAGCAGATATCACTGCTGTTTCCACAGCTTTTCGGATATCATTCCATGCTGCATCGGGGTGGGCATCACATATATGGCTGCCTAACTGTTTTCCCAGTTGTTCCTGAAATATACTCTTAGCTTGACTATCATTAAGTAGGGCCCTAAGAGGTTTCCTTGCAGGATCTTTCCTACGTCCAGTAAGACGCAAGCAAATACGCGCTCGCACTAGAGCATGATCTGAATCTAGGCATGTGCTCCAGAATGAGCGACAGTCTTCTATCGAGCCCCTACATCGGTGGCTGATAGCGATGTGATCTATTTGGGTCCAACGTTGGGACGAATTAGGGGGTCGCCATGTTAAAAGATGTTTTTCCTTATGCTTAAAGTTAGTATTTGCAAGGAACAGGCGGTTATCTGAGCATAGCTGCAACAGACGGTCGCCATTATCTGTTCTTTGAGCCACGACACCATAGGATCCACCTAGGTGTCTTTCCTTATCGCTTAGTTTACCTACTTGAGCATTAAAGTCACCGGCCACTATTACTACATCCGAGCGCCTAGCTTTTCGGAGAAGGTCCGAAAGCTTTCTGTAAAACTCATCTTTTACATCATCTGAGCTGCAGTCAGTGGGAGAATAGGCAGAGACGACGAAGAGGCAACGACGAGTGTCCCTATCTTTCCGGATTCTTACTGTTCCGTTCAGTCGGACAGCGCACAAACGACTGTCTACTGGGATCCACTCTAAGAAAGCTAGTTCTGCCCTAGGACTCAATGCTATACGTACGCCGGCGAGGCCACGGGAAGCAGAATCAGGGCTCCCAGATACACGAAGCGTAAATCGAGTCGGTCCTTTATTTTGGCATGGTGAGGTCAAATGAATGACGCTACTTGGATCCTGTATGCGCGTTTCGGAGACGCAGCACACATCGATTGCGCGAGATTCTAAAGTTTTAGCTAAGGAAGCCTGCTGTCCAATTTGGCAAAGTGTTCGTACGTTAAAAGCTCCTACGTGTAGTTTAGAGCGTGGTTTCAGGAGACCAGAAATAACGTTCCACGTACTCGAATCGTTTGCCCTAGCAGTGCGAGGTGATAAAGAGACGTGGGGAGGGTTAGTCGGGGAGATAAGAGAGGTATTAGAAGGTGTAGGAAAGATTTGAATGTGACCACCTTGGTCTCTTGTGCTGTTACGGGTATGAGGGCTGATATCACTTCCCGGCTGCCCACACCGTGGAAGGGTATTTCTTGAGGAACCTGAAAAGGAAATTAGATTAGTGTTGGTCTTGACGACCTGGGAGCGTGACCGCAGAGCCCAAGGGACAACTGCTTGAGGCCGGTCGCGCACGGCCTTTTTGTGGAAGGTTTTTGACGTGTTAGTTCCGTTCTTCAAAGGGCCTTACCGCCGGAGACGGAAATCCGTGAGGTAAGGTGAGGTGTGACATTTTTAGGGTCGACCTTTTCTAACCCCACCCCTCCTTGTGGGAAGACAGCATCGCTGTCATGCTGGATGTCCGAGGGAAACACCTTACTGCTGTCACACCCCTCTACAGTCAGCAGTACGACTTCGCCCTCAGACCTTGAGTTGCTGCTTTTAGTCTTACCGTTCACCAATCGACCTGCCTGGCATGGTAGAACCCTTCACAATAAACAACTACAGTTGAAAGTCATTAAACTACGTTGAGTGAACATATTTTTACATTTCACATTTTAAGATGTTCACACTTCAAAATATAATATGAAAGTATTTAGAAAAAATTATTAAGATAATCATTTGTTTATATAATAATCTTGTTTACACTATTATATTTAGCTTTCAAGGCTGAATTCCAATGGAAAGAGTTATCAAATCCAGGACATCTATTACCCATTACTGTATATTAGAGTAAAGCCTGACGAGGATCTAATCGAAAACAATATTGAATTATTAGGTCATTCACTCCGAGATAATCCAAACCATTTCAAACTAAACTGAGTGCATGGTTACGTTTTCTCTACAACTAATCTCTTGATAAGAAATATAGATGGAAGAAGACAGGAACACCTTATCAACAATGTAATGCATACATATGCAGTAAATTACCATATCATTTATCATATGAATATAAAAATGATCTACAAATTGAAAATGGATGAAATTCACATGAAAAGTGGATTTCCACCAGTGAAAAAAAGTGTTAAAGGAGTTAAGAAATTCTAGTACGGGAATTCAGCCAATTTACGGATACAACAACGTACGTAACCATAAATATGAGGAATATTAAGTTTTACTAAGAAAATACATTCAAACAGTAAGGGGTAATGCTTGAAAGGTATTGTTTAGTATAACAAATAAACATCTAAATACGTAATAGGAGTAAATAATAGTAGATACTACCACTCACTGTGTAAGGTCACATTGTCAATTTTCAGTTTTAAATTTGTATTGATGTCATTTAGCAATAATACAGTTTTCTTACTATTATCAAGTCATTTACAGTGGATTTATTTATTACGTGAATAATAAGCTTACCTAATAAAGCAAACATAGAGCTGTGGTAGAAAGAAAAAACGAAAATAAACCGAAGACTAACAGTTACTAATTAAAACATATATCCTTAAGTCTTTCGCACACTTTACCTGATGATTACGACAATTTTCCCAAACTTTGCGTAATATTGCATAAGATCGTTCTCTGGAAGCGAATGATGTGAAGAAAAATCGTTCATGATTTTTAGAATATAAAATTTGGATTGCATTTGGTATAACACGAGCGGTTTTCTCTTTGGTAATTGCAACGATCTCATTGACGGCCAAAAATATCTAAAATTATGATGAGCAATAAATATAAATGTGAAAGCAAGAGATAATCACTTCTTAACGAAGCATAATCCAAAGATCATAATAGTATATTTATATATGAATAACAGATTAACTGTTTGTAAGATCCATGACGCAAACTACCGTACAAAATATTCACCGCACTAAACAGAGATTCACAAGTCAATTCTACGAGGATATTTTATTCAGGTGACGGTTATGTTTTTCACTTTTTAGGATTACTTATTAGGCCAGAGCTTGTACAAAATGAAATGAATCAGATAAACGTTTCAGTTGTATGATGTAAAACTGTAATCTTTGATATCCAAGAAATTCGATTACATACAGATGATTAGTTAATCAGTTTATATGCCACAATCTGATTAACAATGTACCATTACTAATATTCAACACTTAAATACAGAAACGAATTGGTTTACACTTATACATAATCATTACACACAGTATAACAATTCAGCATGTTACATTATAGACTAGTCATTAGATATGCATAAATTAACGTAATATCCAAACGTCGACAATAACGTTTATTGAACTTCTATTTTGCATATATATTAAATATTTGTTTACTGTTCACACTCAACCCCATTACTTTTTCTCTAATGAAAGCACCATTCCGAGAACAGGTAATATTGATTGTTTTCGAATAAATCAATATTCATTTGAAAAACCAATTAAACTGACAAGATTCAATGTCATATATAAGGCGATCATACTATTACTAATAGTAATCATAAAAAACCATAGAAAACCTCAATAAACCAGTAGAAAAAAATCAAGTATGTATATAAATATATATATATATAAACACTGAACTGTCAAAAAAAGCCCAGTGGAGATCAGATGACCAGAAATCAATGCATATAATTGACCTCAATCAATAAATGGAGTGCATTTAGAATTGTGTTTCTTGTGAAAAACAGTAAATAATATATTAACCTAAGTAGTTCACAAGTATTACAAGTACAACAATTGTTTTCTAAACGGTGTTTTTCCATAAAAAAGAGAATAGATAATTGTGTTAAATGGACTAAATGTGAACGACCAGCAGTTCGATGAAGTAAACAGCAACAATAAACTCAAATAACTCTACCTGTAGCTCTTCTAGGGTTACTGCCGATCTCAAGACTGGTTAAAAGAAGAGGGTTGTACATGAGAGCAGCGACCTCATCCCGTAGGAAAAAACCTTTTAGAAAAAATGCTGACCGGAACAAACAAATTAAACTATTTGAACTCTACCCTCCGAGTTGAAGGATCATCATTTAGAAGAGTTATGACGCTTCATGATGAAAGCGGAGATTCTTCGGAAGCAACGAGACTGATGTCCTTTTCAAACAAATAGAGTAACAATTAATATAGGTACATGGAATACCCGGACAATGTGATATGAAGATGACCAATCAAATAGTTACGGAAATGAGAAGATACAACTTGATGGTGCTCAGAATAAGTAAAACACATTGGACCCAAGCTGGACAGCAAAGGCTAGATTTTCTTAGGGTGCCGTTGTACTTTGGTCACGAAGAAAATGTTCCGCACAGCAAAATGGTGGTTACTAAGATGAGACTGAAGAAGTGAAAAAACAGCACTACAATACAGTCTTCCTTCGAGATACTGACAAACTCAACGAATTCAAGATAGCTTTCAACAACAGGTTCCAAGCCTTACAGGATCTATTGAAGGAAGAAGAAACTACTATGAAGGACAACTAGAAGGGTATCAAAGAAGTATTAACTTCAACGTGTCAGGAGGTTCTGGACCGCAGAAGGCATCATCATAAGGAATGGATCTCTATCAAAAGAAAGAACAAAGGGACAGCAATTAACAGCAGCCGAACAAGAACAGAGGATGTCAAGGCACAAGCCGAATACACAGAAGCAAACAAGCAAGTGAAGAAGAGCACTAGATCTGACAAGCAGGAATACGAGGAAGACCTAGCAACAACAGCAGAAAAAGCTGCAAGAAAAGGTAATAAGAAACAACTGAATGACACAACGAAGAAACTGGCAAGGAGATATAGTTAACCAGAGTGACCGGTTGAAGATAAGGAAGGTAAGACAATCACTGAGATTGAAGAACAGAGGGACAGGTGGGTAGAATACATTGAGGGACTCTTGAATAGGTCGCCACAGTGAACTCACTGGACGTCGAACCTGCACACACAAACTTTCCTAGAGATGTTACACCACCAATGACCGAAGAAATTAGGATAGCTATTAGACAAATCAAGAGTTGGAAGGCAACAGAGCCAGAAAATATACCAGCTGAGGCACTGAAGTCAGACAGAGAAGTAACTGCAAACTTGCTCGACGTTCTATTCAGGAACATTTGGAAGTAAAAACTACTGCCCACAGACTGAAAAAAAGATATCTCACGAAGATACCAAAGAAAGGAGATCTGAACAGATGTAAGAACTACAGAGGAATCACACTATCGTCGGTACCAAGAAACGTTTTTAAGTGTTGCTGAACCGGATGAAAGAATCAGTAAACGCTCAGCTTCCAGATCAGTAGGTGGGATTCCGTAACGATCGGTCATGCACAGGTTAATTCTAGACAATACGCATCATTGTTGAGCAATCGATCGGATGGAATTCGTCATTATACATCATCTTCCTTGATTACGAGAAAGCGCTTGACAACGTGGATAGGAGAACATTATGGAACCTTCTTCAACACTATGGTGTACCTGAGATCGGCGAAATCACAAGGAATTCATACGACAGACTACACTGCGAAGTCATGCATAGATGACAGCTGACAGACAGGTTCCGGAGGCTGCTTACTCCCCCCATTCCGCTTTCTTCGGGTGGTTGACTAGATTATGAAAACCTCCACATCTCGGAAGAAGTACGGAATAAAATGGACAGCTTGCATGAAACCAGACGATCTGAACTTCGCAGACGAGCTGGCCCTTCTAAAACCATACACATGAACAAATCCAGATCAAGACAACCACTGTAGAGGAAGCCTCTGAAGCAGTAGACCTCGACAAACACAAGGGAAACAGTAAGATCCTGAAATACAACAAAGAAAACACCAACCCAATCACACCTGATGGTGGAACTCTGAGAGACGTGAACAAGGGGTATCTGATATTGATGTGAAAGGTAAGCACCGGCAAATTAATGGCGACATTCCTACAGTTGAACAACATATGGAATTCAAAACAACTGTTAACCGACATCAGTCACAATCTTTAATACGAACGTCAAGACAGTTAGTGCTACTATAACGGAGCTGAAACTTGGAGAACTAACACAACTATCATCAAAAAGGTACAAGTATTTATAAACAAGTTTCTACGCAAGATACTCAACGTCCATTGACGGGATTCCATCAGCAACAGCCCACTGCGGGAGACAACAAACCAACTTCCAGCTGAGAAGGAAATGAAGAAGACGTTGGAAGTGGATAAGACACATATTGAGGAAATCATCAAACTGAATCACGAAGCATGTGCTAGCTTGGAATCGCGAAGGTAAACAGAAAATTGAAAGGCCAAAGAACACACAGCGCCGACAAGTGGAAACAGACAGGAATAGGATAAATAGGAACTGAAAAGGATTGCCCAGGACAAACTTGGATGGAGAATGTTGGTGGGCGGCCTACGCTCCTCCACGAAATTTAACAGGCGTAAGTAAGTGAGTAATTAGCTCAAATGGATTTCATTCACTTCAACCTAATTAGGTTAATGTGATCAGGTAATATAATAATCCTTCAAACAATAAATAAAGCTCAAATTAAATCCAACAGCTTTATATCGTAGTCAGTGTAATGTGTCAAAGACGATGAGTAAACATATGCAGTTGGTAAATATGTCATTTACCTAAACAGATGACAGTTTACAGACTCATCATTAGACGCATCATTTCTATCTAGTGACCTACAACTGATCACAATATTACCAATTCAGTGGTCTCGCTAAACTTGAATGACACATATAGTCAAACGCTTTGTAGAAAATTTTTCATCATGGATTATATTTGGACAAGAAAAAACGTATGCACTCTTTGATACATTAAACGAACTTGTTCAACATTCACATCAAATTAACTCAAAGTAAATTATTAAGACCTCTATCCAGTATGAGTAGTTTGTATGATAAATAACGCTAACGGCATATATCCTTTGCAAAATATATGGCTGATGTATCTTTAATTAAAAATAATCCCAACTTCTAACAATATACTTAATCCCAAACCCATTGTTTAAGACATCCCCGGACATCCTCAGAAGCTAGGCTTTTAAGAAGCTCCGTTGTTTCATATTTTTTCGGAACACAAAATATTGTGCACAGACGATTTGTCTACATTTCAATTCATCAGGAATCATTCAGACACTGTACAAACGGTAGAAAATCCAAATATTTGATGTTCTTTAAATCAAAAAGGTGTCCGAAGTCGTTATAACTTTGGATCGTTCAACCAATCTCCACAATCATCGACGAAAAAGTTCAATTCACCTGAAGAGAGTTATCCTCTTCATAATGACTTTAATATTTCCTGGGTTTTTCTCAAGTTCCAATGAACATAGAAGCAGTTCAGTTTGTGTATTTATTCAACAGAGCATATATGAATTTTCTTTATAAATATTTTAATTAATCCACTCAATCAAAGATATACTACACTTGAAATGATACAATAAATTTATACTGTCTTAAACGTTTTTTTTTTTCTAATAACATCAGTTCTGTTTTAAAGCTTTAACTGAAATAAATAAAAACTCATGCATCAGTAGTAGTACATAAATGAAAAATAAAATTACTTTCTGTTCGTATAGAATTTTTGAGTAAAAGCACACCCATGTTTCAGTAATGTACATTCGACCTTGCAGTAATAGACCATTATTATTCTTAGATAAAGCACATGAATAATCTATTAAAACAATTTTGAGAAACAATGAAAAATAAAGAAACAATAGTCATATACTTCAAATAAGAAAAACTATGTTATACCGTATTGAATTAAATTACAATAGCTTGCTTTGAATAAAAAGATTCAAAGAAAGAAATGTATATGAATATGCTAAAATTATGTACACACATATATATGAGATCATTCCACTTTTAACAATTTTATCTATGAATATATGTATGCTTGTAAATTTTTGTGAATAACTACTGAAAATGTAGTCAGATACAATTTAGGAAGAAAAAGATAATAATGGATAAGTAATTTATGTGGTTGATGTTGTAACTGAATAGTGGCTCTTTATTATAACTGAGGTCGAAATTGCTGATATGACTAGGTGGGAAGAAGGCAAAACTGAAGACGAAAATTTGACAATGTACTAACGGTAAATCCACAAACGATCAACCACCACTAATTAACAGCTATATCGACATGAGATTCAGTTGCATATAATTCAATTACCTGAACAAAGTCAATCACGTAGAACTGAGTAGTAATTGGCATAAATCAATCAATAACCTAGTGGATATATGTAACCTAAAACATTAATAGACTTAACTGACTCAACAAACCACTAATGAGTTACATATTTGCCCTTTTTAACAGTTGTTTTTATAATTAGTTGAATAGCAGGGAAGAAACTGAAAGCTAAAAAGAACTGGATGGCTCTTCATCCTGATTTAAGACATTTCATAAGTCTACATCCATAAATTCATAGATCAATTAGTCTAATAACCTAACCATAAGCCCTGAATACCAAAAGTGATATATCTGTCTTATTTGGTACGTGGTTTTCCAATCATTGTTTGATAGTAGAGTTTGAAGCCAGTAACTTTATTAATTTGGAAATTCGAACTTCTAATTTTCAGCTTAATGTTTTATAAATATACTATACTCATCGTAGAGCATAAAAGTATTCATTTTGATATCATGTGATAGATAGCGTAAGGGCATTTCCGGGAATTCTTACACAAAAACAAAACAGTTAACTTAGTGCCACCCGATTTTTAATGATTGACTAGCTAGTACCACCAGTGGATGATAAAACTAACTCTGAGCATTCTGCGACAATTCCTTATCATAGCAATACGAACTTATTGTCCACAAGTCACATAAGGTCGATTATTTTGCTTTTTCTTCTCTTAATATTTTTGCTATATGGTTTCTCCATCTCTTAGTAAAATTTGAGAACAGTACAGTAAATACTTCATTTGGACAATGCCCATCAATTGTCCCAGACGCTACTGTTCCTTCATTTTCATACCAATCACTCTTTGATCTCGTTCCCTTCTCTCCGAACTTCTCAATCTTCTACCGCCAGGCATTCTACATTCGATTGGTGATACATATTACTTATACCTGTTGACATCAGTAGCACACATCACACTTGGAGTGATGCGCTATTTTATTTCATTCCTTACGGTTTTATTAATTCATCGATCTATCTCAAAAAGACTTTTCTGTAGTTAAAATAAGCAAGTGGGATACTGCATCACAAGATATTATGTGACGAGCTTAAAGATTTAAGGAAATCGGCCTTTATCTTTCCAGAATCTGAATACAATAAAAGAATGTCAATATGTTTCGGTACGTGGATTACAAATGAAACATACTGAAACAATATTACTAACTCTATAAACCTTCGCAAATAATGTACTGTTTGCAGTGTTGCATAACAGTATTCAAATAACAGCTGAAACCCAGAAGAATGACAATGACAAAGGATATTATAACGTAACACTGCCATGCTCAGCACATTACAGTATATTAAAATAATGATCATAGAAACATTTCCTAACTCTTTGTAAAATGTCAATAGAAATAGATGAAAAACGATACAAATGTTTACAAACTGATGAATCTAATATTTGGAAAAAAATGATGACTTAAATTATCTAGTAACAAACGTTGACACACCTAAATAAAAGATTCATCATAAGACTCCCAATATTATTTACAATAAATGAAACGTGACGAAAAGAAAAATAAATGCTATTTGATATAAAAATAGGAATTATTGATTCTTTTCTTATAAACCTTTTAATTTAAACCGCTTTATATTAATAATTTAAATAACAGTGAATATAACCGACATCATTATTTTCATTACAATACATGATAGCAGAGTTTAAAATAATTAATAATCAATAAATTAATATGCAACTCATCACCAAGCATATATTTATGTAGTCATCAAGGCTGGTGATACTACCCGGATGCTTAAACCACGGTAGATGGAGCTGGGCTTGGATCTACAACCTAATGGATGGAAACCGAATATCTTAGGTACTATGTCATCGCCCAACTAATATGACACAAATTCATTATTTTTAAAAGAGTATACACTGAGTTCATATAAAGAATTTCAGTTAGTCATATTAACAAATTCCAATATAATAATGAGTTACAATAACATACCTACAAGTAGTCGTTCAGTATCAACAGGAGTATCACGAAAAATACGTCGAAATTGTTCCAATTTCGTTCGGTAGGATGGAGTTAATGACTAATTTGTATAAATATTTATCATAAGGAATAAAAAAAATGGAAATTGTCGTTAGGTACATTCTTTTCAGTAAATGAAAAAACAAATAATTTGCAAAAAAGAACTATTACTTAACTGCTTTTTGTTATACTATATGGTAAAACTTACACAATTTCTGTATACTTCAGATAATTAATGCATACTAATAAAATATTTTTTAGGTGAATGAGATCACGAAAAAAAGATATTTGAAAATAAAGCGGAAAAATATCTATACACAACTACAGTGATGCGTAATGGTCAGCAAATAAGTGTGTAAATTAAAATTATTACTGGGAAACACTAGCGACAATAAAGCTCGCATCAAAAAAAGTCAAGTAACTTCACTTGGAGTTATATCGAGGAAAATAGATACGTTAATTATAATTAACTATTCAAAAAATGCCACCCATTTTGAATATACTGGACTTCACAATTTGCTACCAATTGAAATATAACATACAAAACGTATTAAATAAACATTATATGGAATTAACGTTTGATGTAGATAATAATTAATCAGAAAAACTAGTTGACTATATATCAGCGAAACACAATTAATTCATGGTGGGTAAAAACTAAAAGGATTGTTGTTGTTGTATACACAAAACAAAAAACATAACTGAAAAATATCTCGCAAAAAAAGTGATTATTACTGTGCTGTAAAACACCCACTATACTGACACTGAACAGATTACTCAATGCAGATAGTGAGTCGACATCATTTTGTGAATTATAGCGACTACAGGTAATCCAGACTTGAAATTTTGAACAGGTGAAAAAAGCTTATGTGAAATTATTAATCAATTGATAAGATAGCGATAAAATGATGATAGAAATATTTCACACAAGTACTTTACCATGTAACATTTCCTGCCAAAGTATATTTAGTGTAAGGGTGAACCTAAAATAATGGAGTTGGATTTTTAGCTAGTTTTTAGTCAATCAGAAAACAACCTTTGTAGATGAATAATCTATGATAAGAAAAACAATAATACTACAAAGTATAGACAGCTTTTACGTAATTATTCAGTCTATTGAAGTCTTTGACAGGTTGCTGTGTTTGTAAATCGAAAACTAAACTCTTTCTTACGGATTACAGAATTGTTTTCCTAAATTTTTGTAAAGATCGAAATAGATTTTTAAGAATCCCTATATTGTCCTTGATTAGGATCAGGAGTAGAGGTTGAGGGTTATGATTTTCATTACGGTGTGACATCAGCTATGATGTAAAATACTCTGTAGCCAAATGAATGAGCGTATTTTGCTCAAAAACCCATGAAGCATTATCTGATTAGTCCATCTAGAAAATGTAATGCGACCAGGTTAAGTTTTGTTTCAAAATTATGGGTTATTACTTAAGGATAGTATCGATTTGTCTGTTATATACAGTCTGTAAGTATAGAATTGAGAATTTGATACGCTTTATAGTATTCTTTTTACTTTAGGGTGACAAAAGTAATTTTTTGACATCGTTTTAAACATTTTGAACAGTTTACATAGGTATTTCTACTGCTTTTTATAGGTGCGAAAACTTAAAAGTCATATTCTCAATTTCGACTAACTTGTCCTTATAATATTCTTTTACTATAAATATGGGAAAGAAATGAATGATTCTCAAGAATTGAGAGCTAAATAATAACCAACAGAGTTCTTTAATTATTAGAGCTAATCTACATCTTCCAATCATTAGCAGTTATACTTAAGAATAATATGCTGCACTGTAGGTTAACTACACTAAGTATATGAAATACGCACATTTACCATAACAATAACAAAAAATACTCTTATTAATATGGTTAAAAGGGGGAAGAATATGAATGAAATTATTGAACGAATCTTGGTCTCTGTAGGATGATGAATTGATTTTTTTTTCAAATCAACTAGTGTCAGAATAAAATGTCAGCAAGTTGAATTGCAGCTGCTGACAACGATATATATCACATACTATTCAGAGACGTGTGCAGATTTGTTTATTTCATTACAACAGACTACTTAGCGCCGATAAGTGCACTTAGCTTGCAGTCACTTTAGATGCTAGGGTTAGTGATATTACCTAAACTAAAATGGATCGAGTGGGGTTCTAACCCTGCTGCCCAGTAATTGAAAGCCGAATATTTTTATCTGCTAAACTCCTACTGTAGGCTATAGATTAAACCGATCAGTGATTCTCTAAACTTTTATAGCATTCCATACCTTTCATTTATTACAAAGATATTTATGCACATAGGATACTAGACGAGTACACACCCACAAACAAACAAGTGAATCAAGTAAACATCATAGAAGTACCAGTAACTGCAATACATACACAATAATAGACATGTGAACATGTTACATATATAGACAAGGTTAGAAATAAAAATAAAATAAAACATTAAAAAGACGATAACTATCACCACTTTTCATACTGATACAGCATATCCGACTTACACACAGATATTCGGTAAAATAAAACCAACAAAATATACTAAAATATGTGAGAAAAAGTAAACGATTCTTTTTCTTTGGTCATTTTGTGTTCGAGTAAATTACTACTCACTGATTATCAAGTCGAATTCTCAACTAGTTGTCATATTGAAATCTACGGTGAGATAACTATATATGATAAGTATAATGATAATGACAACAATAATCATTTCTATTGGATTTTGGAACGAATAGAATTAAATTGAAAAGATTTTGTTGAAAATGTTATGAAACTAAACAAGACTTAATACGTTTCTTATAAATTCGAACAGAAAACTAGCTTTATTTTATTTTTTATGCGTGTACATACATATTTGTTATAATGATCTAATACTTGAGATAATATTCAAGTTCTTTCTAAAGTCTAATTAAAATGATATATATATATATATATATATATATATATATATATATATATATATATATATATATATATATATATAAAGAGAACTTTATACTTGGAATGTTGAACTTTTAATGATATCCTAATGTTTCTTACATTCGAATAATTATGATAAATAAACCAGAGTTTAGTACGCTGAAAACATGAATGTAAATGAGACAAAAAAAAGTAATCATAATCATTTCAGAGTAATGTGATGGTTTGTTTCTAGTGCAAATATGAAAACCATGACCGTGTTTTTAGTAGCAACTTAATTTGACTGAGTTCCATTGAATGGCTGTGCCGACAAAGAAACAATTAACGCCAATCACATTTGAGAATCATTGTCATCTCGTAAATTGATTAAAGCTGTTATACATATTATTGGGTTTAGAATCCACGAGCTAATTCGTTAAGTATTCTCTCGCTCTAGACCTGAGGACTCTTGGTTGTGAGTGAGCACCTCTGACGAGTTTCGCACCAGAACGAAACCGTTATCGAAAATGAGCATCACAAAATTTGATACATAAGATGAGTAACAAGAAAAAATATAATGCTTCTTTTATATAGTAGAATATGCAATTAGGTAGATGAATTCCGAAATTTTATACTGTGGCACGACCTTCTGAGACCACTTTATTTAGCATAAATGACAGATCTAATGTGTGGATAACTACCAAAACGATCGTCATGATACATGAGATTGAATATTCCATACATACAGGTACATAAAAACAAAGGGCAGGATTAGATAACGACAAACTAAAAAAATCACCATGAAAACCAGGAAACATACGACTACAATCGAGAAACTATTACATTTAAAGAGCAAAAGCTAGGTCATGAGTGAAACTATGCAACGGAAATCAATATATTTATGTAAACAAATAAAAACTAGTTTTGTAAAGATGAAAAATACAGGGTGTCTGAATAACTCTACAATAATTATAGTGTCGAATTGCCGAAACAAAACGAAAAAATCATACTTCCTGGTCTGAGGGATATAAAGTTGTACACTATTTAGCATTCCAGACGGAAACAGGTAGCTGGATTGAAATTAGAATGAACAAATCAACATTTCAAAATTATTTAAAGAGTTTTAGTTATCACCTCAGTAAAAAAATAGTGTAAATGCAACACAAAAAAACACAGATACAAATCACACAGGAAATTTGCTTGTTGAATTTATGGAAATGATTCTGACACAAAGGTTCAAAGGCAACGCAACACTGAAAATCCTCAGTTCATTGGTAGATGTGCACTGCATCGGAATCCCATATCAATATGAAACACCCGTCTAGTACTTTCTGATTTTCAAAATTTCAATTGTCTTACAGCAACTGAAACTTCAATATGTGAGTCAATAGGATACCGACCAATACGAACTGAACCATCGATGGAAATAGAGTTTATGCTGTGAGGACAAGCTGTACTTGGCCTTTCAATTGCTATTATTATTAATGGCGTAATATGAATGAGTATAAGAGCTACCTGGAAGAACTAAGTTGGAGCGTAGAATAAATTACTACAAGCGCAGATCCCAGTGGCAGTAGCAAATATTCAGAAGAGAACCTTGAATATTAAGGTAGAGAAAAGTTTCATGAGAGCAGCAGTTGACCACATATCAAATGGTTCGTTTTAAGTGATCCGTTAGATTAGAACAGAGATGAATTGTTTAATATTGTCTATTTCCAAACTTTGTTCAGTATTGCACAATAATAATAAAAATGAATGGATATTCTGAATTTAATGATGAACACACAAACTGAATAATTCTAGTCGTTAACTATACAATTCAACATAGTACTTTTAACTCAAAATCTTTTAATATTATTCATTCAAATAATTTATTAGTTGAATTGGAAATATTTGTTCATTTTTAGAAAATACCATTTATTAAAAATAATATTGTGTAGACGTGTTATTATCTTATTAGAATTTATTAAACAATAATTTATTACATTATAATTATATAAATAACATCGTATTTTTATTAATAAGAGATCATATAATAAAATACACATAAGATCCCGACTAAGCACATGAATCCAATTATTTACCAATGATCAAATTACAACATATGTATATTTAAAAAAGAAGGGAAAACAGTTGTCAATATTTTTGGTTTTAT